GCCTAATCTGTTTTGTCATCTGAGGGGACTTTTTTCAAAGAAAGAAACTATTTTTATTCATAAAAAACTTCATTTTTGGAGGTATTTTAAAATCGGTCCAGCTCGCTTAAATCTTAATATTTTTTCCGAAATATTTTGGTGGACGACTTAAAATATAATATATTTTGTAATTCCGGCGGAAAAACCGCAACTTTTTTAGGTGATGCAGTCTAATATCTATAAATGGGTGTGGTCGAAAAACAAAAAAGATTCACCCAATTCAAAAGTTTGTACAATAAATAGAAAATGCCAACTTGAAAAGGATTAAAAGTTATTCATCCTTTGACATTATTGTTCAAAAGAGAGAAATGTCAAAATCACTTCTACCTTATTTAATATGCCTTGGTTTTTTGGATAACTACATACACGCTCTGCTCATTTGCCAGATATACAATTTTCAAATCAAGTCAAGTCTAAGTTTTGCATAACTGAGCTTGGAAGAGAACACATTCTTTCGTACCGTCAAGGCATTTCGAGTTTCTTGCTTTTCTTTTGACATTTGCGTCGTTTCCCATGTAAAGGACGAAAAACTTGAGTTCAAAAAAATTGAACCGTGTAAAAGCAAATAGAAAACTTGAAAGATAATGAACAAGAATTGCTTTCAAGTACTTGAATCATGCGAATGGGGTGTATGTAACTACGAATCAGAACAAAGGTAGGAGCCGGCTTGCCCTGTTTTTTATATGATTGGTAATATCATTTATTCAAAACCTTTGGAATTTTGCGTTTTGGGGATTTTGTGACACTGTCACCAAAAAATTGTGGGGATTTCGTGTTTGGGGATTTTGATTTTGGGGATAATGTCTTTGGCGATTTTTTTGAAACTGGGGATTTTGTGTTTGGGGATTTTGTTTTCGGGGATTTTGTGGATCTCCCTCTATTATTAAAGTTCTTTTAAATAATCTACCAACTTCCACCATTTTCAGTATGTAAAATCTACCACTATTAATTTGTTCGAAATCCGTGCACTGGGTGCCAGGGAGTACGTGGTAATGAGGCATCTGACCAGTTGGCTAGAGAAGGCTCAGAACGGACATTTCTTGGTCTGCAACATGTTATAGCACTAACTAAAAAAAAACTGGGTGAATATTTCATTCAGCAATGATTGGGATAGTTGGAGGGGTTGCAGGTTGGCAAAACTTGTGGTGCTCTTAGTGTCGGAAGGTCTAGCTAGGTATTTGCTTAGTTGAGCAGATAGGACTGCAGGCAACTTGTTGGGTTGTTGACTGGTCACTTTTGGTTGTACAAACACCTATATGTGGTAGGCATACTTGACAACTTCATTTGGTCAACGAATCAAGTCACGAATAAATGTTATTTATTATTTGTCCAAGGAATCACATCAGCAATATATTTAATCCATGATTTTATTTGTCGAACGAATACTAAATTTATATTATCTAGGATTTTATACAACTTTCAATTCAGGAACAAATTTAATTTTTGGAAAAACCGCCACCCTGATACCCAAGAATGATAGAAAAGAAGATTGCGCCCTCAACGTTCCGCTATCTTTTTTGCTTTGAGGTTAACAGCCGGCTGCTTTGATGTGACGTCGTAAGAGAAACAAAAATTTACCACAAAGAGCAACAAACTAACAATTAAGTGAAAAAAGGTGATTTTTACAAATTTAGTGTTCAGTGGCGAGTTTCAATAACAATGTTTCAGATAAATCGTTGATGAACAACTGCTTTTCCTTTCGCTGTGGCTTTGGCACAGAAGTTGATTAGTTCCTGCTTATTATTTATTATTTCCTTTTTGATATTCAGCCATATATGTGTGCAATAAAACTTTTAATAGAAAACAAAAAATCACTTCGATTTTATTTAGATATTTTGGTCCACAGCTTTTCCAATTAGGCAACTTTTGGTCACTTTTGGTCACATATATGCCTGCCACACTTTGTCTTTAATATTTCTCATAATAAGGTAATATATACAGCCTCCGTTTCACGACATCGTGTCCAAAACAATTGTCGTTCGTGTGTTCGTAGCATTATTAGCAATACGATAAGCTAAACGATATCCAAAACTACTTAAATATGCTAAAAAGACTACGAGCATCCAATTTCAAGTGCTTGTAAACGAACTGGAGGCGAATGTAGAACTCGTGAGAGGAGCGCCTGTATTTGGAGCAAACAAGACGACGTTTGAAGAGCAGTGGCGCAAAATCGCTGAAAAAGTTAATTTGCTCGGTCCACCACAAAAAGGGCGAGCGAGTGGAGAAAGGTATTATATATATTTTCATTATTTGCAAGTCTTCTTACCTTTAATTTATTGCACAGACATTTGCCGACCTCAAATGCCGCACAAAAAAAAACTTGCAGAAAAAGCTCAAAACATAAATGCTACAGGCGGCGGTACGTTTCGGCAGTCTCCACTCAGCGAAGTGGAAGAAGCTATAGACTGCATACTTGTTATGCCCAAGGGAGCAGCTCCAAGTGGGATTATACTTGGTGTGTAGTGACGCCAAATAGAAGGCAACTCAAGTAGCACACTGGTGTATAAATTGGTGTAAATTTATGGATTTTGGTACAAATCTGATTAGATTGAATAAAAAAAACATTTTGGTGTATTTGTTATTCCACCAGTATTTCTTTCAAATCAAAATTCTACCTTTAACGTTTTGGTACTATTTATTCATTGAGATTCGTACGAAAACTACACCAGCTCCTAAAATGCACCACTTTTTTTCATTTGGTTCGCAAATAGCTCCACGTTAACAAATGTCATTAAAATTATTCAGGCGACATTCTGAGTTGTGATGTGCTGAATTGTCGATACCCAATACTTGAAAAAAATTTCGGTACCCAATACTTCCTTTTCGGTACCCGATACGTATTCGACACTCTAAACTTTCGTCATTATATCTGTGCCGTTTGACTTTGAATTAAAAAATGATCAGTTTCCTTTGAAATTGTTTTATATTTTTATTAAGATTCTATTATAGGGGCATCTTGAACTACACCTTTGGCTAGTTAAACGTTAAAATATTGTTTGGAAATCCAATGAAATGTTGATTTAAAGGGAAAATGACGTATCTCGACATAGGCTACTTTTGTGAGAAAAAAATTATTGATATTCTGAAAGACATCGCCTAAAAACCCAAAATGTACAAATAAGACGGTGCTTTCTCAAGAGATGAGCAATGTGTTTGTATGTATGTAGTTAAGTGAATCAAGCATAATGTGCGCGGCGAACAAGGCTGGCAATTAAATCTGCACAATACTGATCAAGGCGAATTTAATAAGGTGGTGTTAGCCGTATATAAGTCAAAAAATTACACTAACAAATTATACGCAGATATTCATACTGTCACTAGTATGAATTACAACAAACACGTAATTTTGATGTAATGTCCTCCACGGCGAAAAATTCAGATCCGCCGGTAACACCACCTTTCTTCTTTTACTTATCGCAACCGTCTTCACAACTGCAATAGTTCTGGTGGCAATATTATTTATTTTTAATAGCTGACACTATATCTATGTGTACATATAACTCATATTTTTGGCTATTGTGCGCTTTTATTAGAAATTCCAGCATTTCGGTACCGAGTATCGAAAGTATTTGATACTTTTTAAATCGGTACCGAGTATCGATCAATACTTAAAAGTAGCGACTCAGCACATCACAAATTCTGAGAGCAATTGACAGAGGTCCAAAGAATTCACCAAAAAATTAATATTGAATACACCACACAGTAGCTTTGTTTCTTTACAGATAGGCACATTTACACAAGGTAGTGTTAGCCGAATATAAGTAAAAAATTACAAAACCAGTTCCAAGAGACAAATAATTTTCACGATATGTGGTGAAAAATTCAGCTGTTGCCCCAACATAAGAGAAGTTAGTCACAGCTACTTTGATTTGCTTCTTTTACATATTGTGGTATTTTTTAATAAAAATGAGCGATTTATAAAATTTGATTAAGTGTGGCAAAACTTGAGTATTAGTGAACAATTTTAATACACTGCCTGTTTCAATATGAGCTTATTATACATACCACAAGTAGAGCTGCTATCAGTGTTGCCATTTTGAAAAATTGGTAGTTTCATTTTGCTTCGTTGGGCAAAAAAATTCAGGGCTGTTCTGGTTTCGTTCGAAATTGATTTCTCATCGATTTGGATTTCCGATTCCAAATTTTAAAGATGTTTTGCAATCCTATCGAAATTTTGAGTTATAATAGAAAATAAATCCTATTCAAAATGTCAAAAATGCATTGAACTGTTGTTGCATAGTATTCGTTTATTAGAACATTTGTAAAAATTTTAAATAAATTTTGTCTAATAGCGGTAATACAATGGTGATCTGAAAGTAGAAAAGCGTACTGAAAGCGTGCTAAAATGGCCTAAAACTTGTACCGAAATATTAAGATTATGTTGCTGACATTCCGTAATTTTATTGCATCATGGTAAAGAAAACAAATAAATATAAATAAAATTGCGCGAGCACAGTAATATATTTTTTTTGGTTACCAAATATAAAATGTTTATATCGATTGTATTTTTTTACATTTTAGATATAAAATAATTGATATAAATTGAATTAATCTCAAAAGATTCATACTTTTACATAAAATAAAATCAGAAACGAAATAAAATATCAATATCTGATGATTAAAAAATTGGTAGTTTGGAAACTGATTTGGTAAGATTTTTGTTCCTAAATATATTGTCGAGTGGCAATACTGGTTGGTATGTTTAATACACCAGTGGTGAAATATGCATAAATAAGGCACCCCTACACGCTTAAAGTTTGTTTAGGTACTAATGATTCAACATCGTGCCTTCACAAATGCAGCTATAAGTTGCATGGTACATATGAGTACGAACAACAGCGAGAATTTTTTCTACATAACATAGGCGCACGCTGATTTGTTTTCTTCTTTTCGTACGCGAACGCGAAAAGAAGAAAACAAATCAGCGTGCGCCTATGTTATGTAGAAAAAATTAACAAAACATGTTGAAATGTATGCGTTCGCGTGTGCGTTCGAGTAATGGGCGTGTGGTAGGCGCTTAAACTTCTGTCAACTGTGTTCTTTTGACAAGAAACATTTTTTATACCAAATTCTCAAATTGAATTGTGTCTAGGGCAAAATAAATGCACCGTTCTTGGCTCGGTAAATATCTTTGTACCAAACTCAAGAATCAGTGTAAGTTTTCGACGACGACCATATTTTCAAAGTATTATAAAAGTAAGGCTTAGTTCACAACCTAGAGTAATAGCGTTACGCGATGCAATGGAAATGGCTCAATCCGAAGAAACTTCTTCGCCAGCATAATCGCTGGCGATTAAAAAGTAGCTAGTGTTTAAATTGTAGCACAGATATACACGACTAATTTTTTATAATAGGGGAGTTTACGATGAGTAGCATTTTAGATTTAAAGTTGCTACGTAGCAATCTAGCACATATTTTGTTATTGGGAAAGCAACAAAATGTGTGTTACATTGCTACATAGGGATTTCCCGTAATATATTTATATTTATTTCTACAACCCTTTGACAATTTATACCGAAACTTAAGCATATTGTATTGNCAGATATACACGACTAATTTTTTATAATAGGGGAGTTTACGATGAGTAGCATTTTAGATTTAAAGTTGCTACGTAGCAATCTAGCACATATTTTGTTATTGGGAAAGCAACAAAATGTGTGTTACATTGCTACATAGGGATTTCCCGTAATATATTTATATTTATTTCTACAACCCTTTGACAATTTATACCGAAACTTAAGCATATTGTATTGTATATAATAGCTGTAGAAGAGATGTTTAATTTAATATATAAATATGTATGTACATATGTATATTTTTTATTTATTTGGGCTTTAAGTATGAGAAAAAGCTTTTTTTAACAAACTGCATAATTTTTATTTGCTTGCACAGCGATAAACACCAACGACTGTGTAAATGTTGGTTAGGAGCGATTTTTATGTATTCTCGCTGCGCTAATACGTTAGGTTGTAATCTTAGCCTAATACTGAAACTGAGTTAACGGCCATATTAAAGCTGTATAACTATTATTTAACTAATTTAACAATTCGATTATGTGCATTGGCTCAACTATGCCACTTTATGTGTATTTTCGACCCTTTTTTAAACAGCGCATCTCTAAAAATTTAATAATCGCGAAAAAATCATTGCTTTAAATATTAAAGTTTTTCCAGATTTATTTAAAAATCTTCAAATCCTTATAAATTTTGAGGCGCTCGAGGTTTAGAGGGTGTAGTACCGAAATTCAATCGAAAGAATGTACCTCGTTTTTAAATTAGGAACTCACATTCATATATATTCGCGATTTTCTTGCCTGCACATTACGAAGAGGAATGCTGAGGTTTATAAAAAGAATTCCAAGTCGTGCAGATTAAAAAAGAGCTTCGGTGTAAATTCTATGTCTGAGTTAATTTTAAATTTGATTAGTAGTAAATTTTTTTATTTTTATTTATTTATTTATTTAAGTAGAAAAAAAGTTACAATATTTATGTTATCGCACAATTTACAGAATATGGTATAAACCTTAATTCTACATCATTATATTTATATTTTTATCACAGGTTTTAGTTTTTAAATAACGATTTTTTCGAAGGAAAAAACTACTATGAAAGACCTCCGCTTTAAATTAGTAGTAAGTTTTACTCCTCGAATCCTTTTGTACTCTTCACAGTCATGAAAATATATTTATGCTAGAATATGATGTAAATTCTTTACCATTATGGTGTATGATTTGAGCCAATACCAATACGTATTTTATACCAACAGAGTTTATATTATGTTCTAGAAACAAGAAAACTTGTATACCACTGGCATAATATATATGCCGAAAATCAGTAAAAAAAATTACGGTAGGTGTAAATAATGCACCGAAAAGCGGTATAACCTCTACACTGAATCGAAATAAACTGTTCAAAAACTGCGCTTAGAAATCGCATATTTTTTATATTGAAAATGTATATCACGCCGATGCAAAAAATACACAAAATATTTTGGTGTATTTTTGACTTTTGTGCTACTTGAGAACGTCAAATGGCAACAACTCGTAGCTTTCATCATCGCATTGCGGAATCGGCTAAAATTCAGGCCGACGCACAGTGTATTATTTCCATATTCTAGAAAATATTAATTACATTATTTTATGTCGCCAAATTTCAAAACAACGTCAAAAATGTTTTTAGAAATGTCTGCTAAAGACGAAACAACAACAATTACAAAATTTAAACCAAAGTGTAGGGCGGGACGGGATTCGATTTGGAAGATTACCGAGCGCAGTATTATTTNCATTACGAAGAGGAATGCTGAGGTTTATAAAAAGAATTCCAAGTCGTGCAGATTAAAAAAGAGCTTCGGTGTAAATTCTATGTCTGAGTTAATTTTAAATTTGATTAGTAGTAAATTTTTTTATTTTTATTTATTTATTTATTTAAGTAGAAAAAAAGTTACAATATTTATGTTATCGCACAATTTACAGAATATGGTATAAACCTTAATTCTACATCATTATATTTATATTTTTATCACAGGTTTTAGTTTTTAAATAACGATTTTTTCGAAGGAAAAAACTACTATGAAAGACCTCCGCTTTAAATTAGTAGTAAGTTTTACTCCTCGAATCCTTTTGTACTCTTCACAGTCATGAAAATATATTTATGCTAGAATATGATGTAAATTCTTTACCATTATGGTGTATGATTTGAGCCAATACCAATACGTATTTTATACCAACAGAGTTTATATTATGTTCTAGAAACAAGAAAACTTGTATACCACTGGCATAATATATATGCCGAAAATCAGTAAAAAAAATTACGGTAGGTGTAAATAATGCANGTATTGAACTTATAACGGAACTTCGTTGACCCAACTTGATTTTTTATCGATATTTTCCACGCACATAATTAAAAAAAAAATTATTTTTGAGACCATTTTTGCCAGTTTATAATTCATTGTTATAGGGAAATTCTAAATATTTATTTGAGGCATTTTAGCCTTTGTAGTTAGTTAAATATTTCAGTTTTTGCATTTTTATAAATTGCAGTTATATAATAGGGTGGCGTGGCAGTAACTCTAAATGACCAATTTTTTGTAAAAAGCTTCGCCTATCTTATAACGTACCTTGTGCAAAATTGTATTAATCTATCTTCAATAGTTTTCGAATTACAGAATTAAAAGCAGCTAGATGGGTCAAATCTTACACTGTGCGACGCCTCCAAAGCACAGAGCAAGGCTAGTGAAGTTAGTTTATGCAGCAACGCTCCAAGCAGAGGCGGAAAAATCTACTGCCCAAGCCATAAAGGATCTAGTTACTATTTCAACGCGACAGATTGAGGTCTTAGAGGCTATAATGAGAAGTCTGACTAGGTGACTTTTTGTGGTCTAGTTGTAAATAAGTAAATGAAGTTTTTTTTTTATTAATTTATAAAAAAAGGTATTTTTTCATTTAAATGTGTTTTTTTCTAAAATTTTTATATACGAAGTATACAAATATGCATATCGGAAGAAAGGTGGCTTAATCACCTTTACAACGATATACATTTTTTTAAAAATCAGTTTAAAATTTAATTTTTCGAAGACCTGAACTTTGACCCCTTATAGCACCTGTAATATAAGTTTGCACAAAAAAAGTTATACACCATTTAAATAAGAGCAAAAGGAGGACTACGTCTATATTTTTAAGTTTTTAGTTATTTACATGCAATAATTAAATATAATTCTTTACCAAAGGTCCTATTTCGAACTTCGAAGGCCCATATCTCGATTTCGGAGGCCAACTTCGAAAATGGACAAATCTGTGTTTTACCTATGACTCAAGCTCTTAAAAAAATTGGTTTGGTCCAATACCTAGAAAAAAGTTGATTTTGCCGTACAGTGTAATTTAAAAAAATTAGCTCAGTTGGTTTTTAAAGTTATTGCATTCATATTTTTCGTATTTGTGAAAAAAAGATATTGAGGACTGATTTTTTCCAATTGTTCACCCATTTCTATTTAACTCATTGACATGAGGTACAGCCCGCGACAAAAAATAGCACATCAACATTTTTACCAGTTTTGACTACTTTTCTTTTGCCTTTTTAAGGTTCATTATTAAAGTTCAGCTCCTTATCTAACAAAAACCATATAAGCCCAAATTTCAAACTTTGTACAAAAATTTTAAAAATTTCACAAACTTTTCATCCCAATTCCAAATATTTTCAATATTCCTATTCAATATCCAATATTATTATTTTCAGTAATACGCGGTTGTTTTCTTTGGAAAAACTACATACGCCCAAACTGTTTTTTTTTTTTAAATTTGCCATTTTTCGACACTTCAATAGTTTTTTCTCAAAAGAAGACGTGTTAGATGAATTTTGTAAATGCACTTTAAATCAGCATCAAAAAATATATAAGGTAGGTAAGGTCGATATCGTTTTTGAAATAGAATACGATAATTTTTTTTACCGAGTTATTTATATTTTTATGAATGCGAGTGTATAATGCCAAGAAGTGCTGTTTTGTTTTTTTATTAATTCATTTATTGCTAAGAAGGTTTTAAATGAAAGATACGCTACTCACAGACAAAGTGAGACACCCATAAATGTTGTTAATTTGTAAATATTCACAAAGTTTTTCATGTTAAGTAATTACGTTATGAACCGAAAATCACTGCACTATGATGAGGGCACCAGTATGTTTTATACCTGCATACCCTAAGCTGTAACAAGGCCAATTTTAAAACAATAAAACTAGAAGAGAGAAGGTAGGAAAGAGTGGATTTGATTATAACTATGGGTCATTTACACAAAAAATTGTTTTCCGCTCAAATCATTTTTCTTTGCATTCTTTGGGTAAAAATATAATACACGTATTTTTTTATTTTCGTTTGGCACATACTGTCGTACCATTTATGGCTTTTTCTTGGCTTTCATACGAGAAGTCGATACAATTATTTTTTAATACAAAAAATTGGATATTAAAAAAATAATAACAAAATAAATTTTTTTTTTCAAATTTAGTAACGACTTTTTTTAATTTTCTTATTGAAAAATGTTCTTCAAATACTTAAGTAAAATCTGTAAAATTTTCAGAATGGGTAGTTCAAAATTACGCTTGAAATCAAATTTTAAACAACTGCGAAAGCGCTAAAAACGCGCGATCTCCTTGGCGTGCACCCTCTATCTATGTACTCGTATAATAGGCTGCATGCTGAATTTTTTCGGCATTACATAAAAGACAAGTTCTGAATGTAGTTTTTTATCTTTTATTAGGGTTCTAATTACGCCCTTCTACAATAATGAATATGAATATCTACTTTTTATTTACTGAGGCATGCCTTTTTCCCGGTTTTACAAAGCATTCTATTTTGAAATCGTTACAAAAAGAATAAGTCTTGACTTTCAGTCTGTTATTTTCTTCAGGCTCAATGCTGTGAATTTCGTGCGTGCCTGATATAGTCTTGCACTTTTAAATAGATTTTTTTTCTGCTTCTTCCTAGTCCTGAGCATTGTTATACAAAAACGAGATATTGGGTAGCCACAATTTTCTCTATGAGTGGGGGATTGATTCATATATCTGTGGTCATAAATAATAGCCGCATAATTAGAAAAACCTGTATTCGAGAAAAACGTTTTAAACATTTGGATTGTAATGNAGATTTTTTTTCTGCTTCTTCCTAGTCCTGAGCATTGTTATACAAAAACGAGATATTGGGTAGCCACAATTTTCTCTATGAGTGGGGGATTGATTCATATATCTGTGGTCATAAATAATAGCCGCATAATTAGAAAAACCTGTATTCGAGAAAAACGTTTTAAACATTTGGATTGTAATGTTAACCTAATGGGGAGCCAAAATATGTTCGTCCATAACTTTTTAAATAGCCTAGCTGGCGGGATGGGGATTTCACATACACATGGAAGAGTAGTTGCAGAATACGAAAACATATAAAACTCAATTCATTCTTAAGTCGACTCAGGCGGTTATTGCTTATGACCACAGATTATATATCCATACCAAGTTCCAGTACTCTACCATGAACACTTCCAGAGATATATCAAATCCGGTTGGTGGAATTTGATATTCAAATCTGTTAGCAATACAATCGGGAATTGTTCTTCATCCTATTGATGATAAAGTAATAGTAAAGCAAATAAAAAGTAGATATTCATATTAATTAGTGTAGAAGGGCGTAATAAGAACCCTAATAAAGATAAAAAAAAACTACATTCAGTACTTGTCTTTTATGTAATGCCGAAGAAATTCAGCTGCGAGCATGCAGCCTGTTATACGAGTGCATAGATAGAGGGTGCACGCCAAGGAGAGCGCGCGTTTTTAGCGCTTTCGCAGTTGTTTAAAATTTGATTACAAGCGTAATTTTGAACTACCCATTCTGAAAATTTTACAGATTTTACTTAAATATTTGAAGAACATTTTTCAATAAGAAAATTAAAAAAAGTCGTTACTAAATTTGAAAAAAAAAATTTATTTTGTTATTATTTTTTTAATATCCAATTTTTTGTATTAAAAAATAATTGTATCGACTTCTCGTATGAAAGCCAAGAAAAGTCATAAATGGTACGATGATTGGGTTTTTTTTTATTAAAATGCTTGTTCGCGGAAGCATATATTAAAAAGGCCTTTTTTGGCATGCTTAAAGTTCAAAAAAATATACCTCAGAAACAGTGTGTGTCACATGAAAATAAAAAAATTCGTGTATCATATTTTTACCCAAAGAATGCGAAGAAAAATAATTTGAGCGGAAAAAAATTGTTAGTGTAAATTTTGCATGGATTGACCCATATGTATTTCTAAGCTGTTTTTATTGCGATTCAAGAATAGCTTGCTATAAGTTTAAAGCGTACTTTATGTGTTAAGCAGGGATCACACGATTTGTACATTTGTATAGAGTGGTGTTGTTTTGCAAGTTGTTATTGAGCTGAGCTCATTATTTCTGAACAACACCACTCTTTGACTGCCAAAATGTACAAATCTGTCCAAATGTACAAATCTTGATATCCCTGCTTAACATTTAACAAGTGCACCATCGCGAAAATCGTGATTTTGTGCATTTTAGCATCGGAGGCATACATCGATGCATCGATTTGCATGGTATTTTTCAAATAATGTTTCACAACAATATATCTCCTTAGTAAAATTTTACAAAATTTTTAATAAATTACAGAATATGACCTAATTATGTTTCTAACGGAACTTTTTGGTCCAAGTCACTTTTCTTTTTTGTACAATCGAAAAACTGGAATGACGGCTCAATGTACTAGAAATGTCAGTTTTCAAAAAACATCGATGCATCGATACATCGAGAGGAGAATTTTCGATGCATCGAAGCAAAACAATGATATTTTCGATGCATCGAGGTTTTTCCTAGGGATGTCTATGTAGTTCAAAAACAGTGATGATAAACTTACACCTCATTAATACAAATTAAAGCATTTTGCAACAAAATATACAGTTCCGGACAAAATTATTGGCACAGTGAATTTTTCGCAATATAAACAAAGTTTTTTATTCTTATTTTTTTGATAATCTTTAAAAAAAAAAATTTAGTTCATTGTACACCAAAAAACATAAAAATAAATTCTCTAAAGTTTGTGCAAAACTCAGGAAAATTCAATAACTTTTTATACTAATTTGCAGCTATTTAGTGGAAGACGTTGCTCATTTTCTCCATAAAAAACATAATTGTTGAACATGCTTTGTACGCCAAAATATCAAGGCTATAAAACTGCATACATAGAATTTTTCTAAAAAATCTGAATAGAAAGTTGCAAATTAGTATACGAATTTATTGAACTTTCCTGACTTGCACAAAGTTTCGAAATTTTATTTTTATGATTTTTAATGTAGAATGAAATATATTTTTATACAAAGTGATTGAAAATAAATTATGATAAAAAACTTTGCTCATATTGCCAAAAATTCACTGTACCAATACTTTTGTCCGGCACTGTACATATGTATGTACATGCAAAAACACAATGATGTATTGGGGAACGATTTTCCGCCATCCCTTGTCAAATTTAGTTTTGAGAACAATCCTTAGATTACCTCAATAAATTGTTTTCTTTGGAACTACATATTTAATATAAGAGTATATTTTTTATATGAAACGATATTTCTTCAATATATTAAAATTTAATCTTTTCTATTCATTTGTAAATTTTCTTTTTAAAACAGTTAGTCCCACATGCTAGGGGTTTCAATAACTCTGGGCAGAAGGCTATTCACACATGCAGCCAAATAATAACCTTAGTAGATAATCTTTGTGCACTGAATATTTAATAAAACGTTAAACAAATTGTCTTTTTCTCGCCTCAGATCTTTTTATGATATATTAATAAACTATGCACATAACGTTCATTCATATTGCTGAACGTTGTAAAACTTATTTCTTTTTTATTTTACGCTATTAGCTATTATTCTAGTTACTAATATATTTCGTAAAATTTTTTTAAATTACTATTAAATAGAATTTATTTTTAACTATTTCAATAACAAAAAATTAATACTTGCTTGTTTATATACATATGTACATAAATTTAATGCTAATATGTTTATAATATCGAACTTTTTAAGTGTAATTTTACCTTCAAATCTTTATTAAAACACTCGCTAATGTGATAATTTCTCATTTCTTTTTTATTTCTGCATAATCAAATCATATCTAACTTCAATTGCATTATTTGCAACATCTAAAAAATGGCCACTAATTAAATTGATAACGCCCGCTGCGTCACCAAAATTTTAATTAAAAAATATATGCTTCTAATAATCATTATATTATATTCAAAAATTAAAAAAAATATAATTCTTTGCATACATCTTTGCATACATCTAGAATGCCATACGCACAAATCTGTCGCTACATAAATGCTTTGTTCGCTATGAAGATGACTTTGGCTCCTTTTGGATGGTGGACGATAGTGAATTCGTTAAGCGTCGCCATTTATCGCGAGGCCGTCCACGCAAATATGAACCGTCGTCATCCCCGCGTTCCAATTCACAGACTCCCGGCTGTGCCGCCGACAATAGCGACAACAATAGTCAATCTGGCGGCACTGACGGCCATCAAGCCTTTAATAGGCAGCAACAAAAGCAGAAACACCGCATAATTCACAACTTTAGTCCCAATAATGGTAGTCATTTCGTCAGTGCTCGAGCTGGTGCAAGTAGTGTTAATTGTGCCAGTGGTGGCAGTGAAAACGGTTGTCTGAATCAAACATGCGCTGCTTTTGATGCTGGTGTTAGAGTTGCTGCTGCTGTTGATGGCTCAATGCTAACTAATTATATTTGCAATAATAGTGATAGAATTAATAATAATAATAATATTAGTAACAAAAGAAATAATAATAATGATAATAATAATAGTCATAATAAGAGTAATAATAATCAAAATAATAATAATAAAATTAGTAATAATAAGAGCGGCAACAGCATTAACAGCAGCAGCAACAAAAATAATGGTATTTTTAATATCAGCACTAATAACGGCGATAATGACGGAATTGATATCTGCGAAGGTAGCCAAATAAGTCTGGGCGACATTTGCAGCAGTAATAAAACATCGAAGAAACTACAAAATTTTGATTCAAGTGATACCAAACTAATACGTATCAACGATGCATTAATCGGAATGAACACAATTGAAAACTTAAACAGGCTTAAAACCGCTTGTAGCAAAGTCCCTGGTACTGATATTACCAGCGAAGGCATTACCACTGTCGATATCGGTGTCATAATTGCGGCAAGTCACTGTGGTGAAGGCAAAAATGGAACCAAACGTAAAGTTTGTGTTATTGATGGTGATGCTGGCGGCGGTAACAATAAACCTATTAGTGCCGTAAATGGTTCTAATGATGTGGGTGTAGGTGACGGTGACAATGCTATCGAAGGACTATTTTATCGCAACTATCAACCGCAGTAAGAGCATTAATGAAGCAAAAGATACAAAAAGCTTTGATGTACTTTAAATATACATAGATTTTGTACATAAGTAGTAAGTGCATATCGTTACTTTAATATAGAAAGACCCTAACTAATTTACATTTCGAACCCTGATTTATACAAAATCTTTCAAATAGCTCACAATTATCTAATAGAAATTGAAAAAAAAAATATTACAATATTAGATAAAATTATATATTATACATTAACAATCAGCACTTCGACGAAACTCGCAACTGTGGAACTTTTCATTTTGCAAAATTTTTGAACTATATTTGAAGGAACAAAAATTTGAGATAAGGGCTTTCTATATTAAGGTAACGATATATTTATACATGTACATACACATATGTATGAATATGTAGTTATAAATATGTAGTTTATACGTACAGATACATTAGGGTGGGTAAACAAAAAAATCAAGTTTTTTTTTCTGGATCCGACATCGGATCATCATAGTTTTCCATTTTTAATTTAGTCTCATATAAAAATGGTCATATCTTATCACCAATAGATCGTTAAACCAGTTGCATTGTCAATATTTATAGGAAATTGAACGCTCTACAAAAGTGGTCTCATATACTCTTTTCATTAATCTAAGCATTTAAAAGATATTCAAGGTCAAAGATTGAAGTATTTTAAGGAAAATAATTTTTTGGTTTGAATTTTGTAACTTACTAAAAAATAATTACTGTCAAATGAGTTTCAATTATTTCTATAGGAAATTGAACGCTCTACAAAAAAGGTCTACTGGGGTTAATCGACTATTCTAACCATTTAGAAGATATTCGCAGTAGAACTCCAATGTCTACTGATTTTAATAGTTTTTTAATAATATTTCCAATTTATCCATTTAATTTATGAATTTTGAGAATATTTAAGAATATTACGTTGATGAAAAACCAAACACATAACCTCTTTCACTGCTGGTAATTTTTTAATTTTTTTCATGAATTTTTGACATCGGTATGCCAATTAAAGGGATTTCTTTATTCATATTAGATGATTAGCAGATGAATTGCAATAATCAAAAATATATTAAAACTCAGCTGCTAATTAATTGGTTTTAGTTATACACAAGAAGACACAACTTAGAGCTCCAAAAACTATATATAAAATGTAGAAATATAAGAGGAAACAGAGAAATGACATACAACCACAGATGGCGCTAGTATGACAAGTACTGAGTAACAGAACTACCAGCATTCGAAATTAAATCTTAAAATTCTCCGAACAAAAAATATTGCATTATAAATTTTGTGGAAAAGAAATTTGAATGACATTTTAAATAAACCCGTTGAAATATATTAAATCACGATCCTAAAAAATTGATTCGAAAGAAATATATTCTCAAACAAAAGATAAGATATAACTCGCAAGCTGTCATTCTATAGAAATAAACTCAAATTCTCATAATTATTGTCAAAATTCATAAATTGAATGGATAAATTGAAAGTATTTATTGAAAAACTATTAAAATCAGTTGGCATTGGGATTCTACTGCTAATATCTTCTAAATGGTTAGAGTTATTGATTAACCACCTGAGATGTTTTTTGTAGAGCATTCAATTTGCTATAGAAATACTTGAAACTCATTTGACAATAATTATTTTTTAGTAAGTTACAAAATTCAAAACAAAAAATTATTTTCCTTAAAATACTTCAATCTGTGACCTTGAATACCTTTTAAATGCTTAGATTAATGAAAATAGTATATGAGACCATTTTTGTATAGTGTTCAATTTCCTATAAATATTGAAAATGCAACTGGTTTAACGATCTATTGGTGATAAGATATGACCATTTTTATATGGGACTAAATTGAAAATGGAAAACTATGATGAGCATAATCTTCCCGTTAATATTAAGAGCTCAGATTTGGTAAGTACTTTCCAGAGGTACCCAGGACCTGGTTTTCGTGTGTCGGATCAAAAAAAAAAAATACTTGAATTTTTTGGCCCACCCTAATATACCTATATACATGTACATATATGTAGTTTATACGTACATATACATATATACATGTACTTACATACCTAATCACTGACGTTGATTCTGAGGTAAGTATTTAGCATGCGAACTTAATCATCTGTTTACGCGTATTTCAGTCAATGTATGTATATACATTAGGGTGGTCAAAAAAGCATGTGCAAAAGTATTTCGGAATTTTTATGCTCTCACCCCCTAGTTCTATACGGAAAAATATATCCCCATTTTTTTTGTTTAGATGTCGCTCAAAACGCACAAAGTGTTTCATGTATTTTATATGGGGAAAACCACTTTTCGCAGGATTACTAAAAATCAATATTTTGCGATCAGAAAACTCCGTTTCCCTGCAGAAGACTACCAATAATAATACCCAATTATTTATTTAACCATTTTTTCATAGTAACTGTATTTTATAGGTCCCCCAAAAACCCCAGAAAATGCAATGGGGGGCACCAATAAAAAATCTTTGGTATTAAAAAACGGTTAAATATACCATTGGATATTGTTATTGGAAGTCGTAAAGAGGACCAGAGTTTTTCGATCAAAAATATAGATTTTCAAGAATTCTATATCATTTCTACGAACAGTTGTTTTTCCCCATATAAAATACATGGAAAGTATTGAGCGCTTTGAGCGACCTATAAATATTTTTATATTTTTTCGATAGAGAACAATGCAACTTTACTTTTTTTACCACCGTATTGTACATACATTAGATTGCGAAAACAAGGTTGTAACTACCCCGCCTAGTTTGAAGGCTTAATGGTGCCCACACTCACCTGGTAAACGTACGTTAACGTGTCAGCTGACACGATCAAATTTATGAGAGCGCCATGTAAATGAAAACTTACCATCGTGTACGTGCGCCGTTACGCGTGACGTGTACTGCTTCTCTCTCCTCTCCTATCAACAGTAAATTTTGTATCTTGCTACGACAAACGGAGACGGCATACATACACGTCGGTGAAAGTGAGCACCTTTAGTAGAAGATGAATTGGGCGTCATACAAATTGTTGTACTTGTTTTATCTCAAAAAGCCAAAATGTAGTTTGGTTCATACAGTTCCTACTTAATTATAGTTGAAGTTTTTAACCTGAACTACCCCCTTATAGGTAATATCAATTATCACAATTTCTACCCAAATCTAAATCTAATTTCTAAGAAAATCAAAACATATTCTATGAAGTTTTCCCATTATGTTAAAGAGATCTAACTATAATACTCAAGAATACATACCACATCTTAAAATCGGGTGACAGCTACAAAAGTTATGGACTCGTTTTAGGACATAACAAGCACGCAAGTTTTTCTTATGGCGAAGTCCTCTGAATTAGAGGTCAAACCTAGGGAAAGATGGACGCTCTGGGGGTAACTAAAAACTTTTTTCTTTTGTATATGGACCGAACCGGTCTAATATACACTTTTCACTAATGTATGAGCAGAGTTGTTAGTAATACATAACGTTGCCTTAATATAAAAAGGCCCTTTCTAAAATTTTTGTTTCTTTACTTAGTGGTTATTTTTGTTTCTTTACTTAGTGGTGGAGTATGTATGTACTGTTTTGTGCTGTATATTATATATATATTATGTATATATTATACGCAAAAAAGTCTATTGAAAATAACTTTATAATATACCGCAACAAAATTTTTTCCATTTTTGTTGGCCTGCGTATCTAATCACTTGCAGACTTTCCCAATTTTCTTGAATAATCCGTCAACAAGATGATTTCAGATTTTGGCAAGTATCTTAAGGACTTACTCACGGACTCTAAAATACACCCAGGAAAAAGTCAGCTTCAAATATTTCTCTCGACATATGATTTGGTAACTTTAACTATATAATGAAACTGTCTATAACTAAATTATGTGTTGAGAGAAATATATTTAGCAACATTTTAATCAAACTTATTTGATAATCATCTATATTTGGAACTTTACACGCACAAGCGGCATATTAGAATTTTTCGCATAATGTTTTTTTTTGGGTCTATATCGATCCCTTTACGAGAAATTATCGTATGTGCCAGAAACCAAATTTTACTGGAGATCGCTTTTGTCTACTTTTCAAAATTTTTTGAGTTTTATTTGTTTTATCTTTTTACTACGTTCAAAATACTTGTGTATGCCATATACGGTAATTGCACCTACAAGAAAAAATGCATTGTAGCATACGGTAAAATATAGAGTAAATTTTTGGCGTAACTAAATATAACGATTGCATCCACAATATTTACCAGGTGATGCGTTGTGGGGTGAAGAACAAATTTTCATCAAGAAGTCAATTTCGAAAAAATGGCAGATACGATAATTTTGCGCAAAGGGATCGATATAGAAACCAAAAAAAACATTATGCGAAAAATTTAATATGCCGCTTGTGCGTTTAAAGTTATATTTGGAACTGGATGGTTTTCAAATAATTTTGATTAAATGGTTGCTAAATATATTTCTCTCAACACATAATTTGGTTATAGATAGTTTCATTATTTAGTTAAAGTTACCAAATCATATGCCGAGAGAAAAATTTGAAGCAGACTTTTTCCCTGGGTATACTTTTAGAGTCCGTGAGTAAGTCGTTAAGATACTTGCCAAAATCTGAAATCATCTTGTTGACGGATTATTCAAGAAAATATATTTGGGAAGGTCTGCGATTGATAAGATACACAGGTCAACAAAAATGGAAAAAATTTTGTTGCGGCAAATGTTAAAGCGGTTTTCGATAGACTTTTTTGGTTTGTAACGTAGCATCCTCTACGATACAATAATATACAGCACCATACGGTACATACATACTCCACCGTACATACATACATAACAACGCATATGTACTCTTCGGTACACACACCCCGCATCAACCAAACACTGCTAGTAGCATACCAGCCACTTCGTTCGTCAACTACAATCGGGGCAGCGCGCACGACGAATTCTCAAATTAAGCACGCAGCAAAGAGTATAAAAGGCTGAACAAGTGCGCAGTCGAGTCAGTTT